CTTCTGCTGAGTTTCATGATTCAATGCGGATTTGAATCCAGGCCTCCCCATCCTCCTCTTATACTCCGACCCAGTGGTTCTTTGCCCTTGCCCCATGATGTTTCGGACATCAACGCCCAGAAAACTCAGCAAGGACAGCCAATTCAGAGGGATTCTGGGAAACGACGTCCAAAACGTCAACCCTACTATAACCGGTGGAACTCACTGCCCCAGGGATGCTGACAGCAAAATATCAGAGTAAAAACAGGAGGGGGGTGTAAGACCAGCGGTAATACTATAGGTAGTAAACTTTATCCCATATTGAATTTTTTTTTCTTTTTTTGGAAAACACATCAATATACAGGAGGATCCAAAACTGGAGGCCAAAGATGTCCCAGCTGTCATGGGTACAAACAAGGGCAAGCAAGAAGAGAGGAGAAAGCGGGCCCTGCAGAGAAGGCTGGAGATGCAGGTGGCAGGAGAAAAGGAAGGGGCTGCCTAGTGGTTAGAGCAAGGGGGGGAGCTTTAAGTTTCCCTCTTCTTACCTGTTCCGTTTCTTGCATGGAGGCTGCTAAGAGCAGTCCATCTTGAACCCGGCTTATCATGGTAAGCAGGACCATCTCGGAGGAAGGTGGGCAAGAAGAGGAGGGCAGGGGGGGGAGGCGCGGCCCCGGGCAAGAAGGGGGCGGAGCCAGGCTGCCCCAAAAAGTAACTTTTGAGGAAAGGGGGGGGGGAGGTGGTGTTTAAAGAAAATAAAAGGAAAGGCGCACGTTCTTCCTTCTTTCCTTCCTTCGCTGAAAAGCTCATCCTTCTCCGCTTCACTCCCAAAAGCGAGATCTCTGGTTTAGTTTCTTTCTAGGAAAACTCCGGTGAACTTTTGCCATTCTAACGCATCCCGCAAGGCGGTGAATAATAACTGTACAACTAGTTAGGAAAGAGTGTGTGTGTGTATATATATACGTATAGGTACTGTATATATATATATGTATATATGTATGTATATATGTGTGTGTGTGTGTGTGTGTGTGTGTATGTATATATGTACAGTATAGTATGTATACTCTATATACTATACATATACATACACATATACTTTTATATATACAGTACGTATATATAAATATATAAATGTGTGTATAAACACTCCTATTTTTATATATAAGTACTGTATATTAAAAAGTATATGAGTGTATATATATATATGTATATGTATGTATGTATATGTATACACACACACATACTTTTATATATGAAGTACTTATATAAGAGTTTATGTCTGTGTGTGTGTGTGTGTGTATTTAACACTTATATTTTTATTTTTATATTTTTAGATATATTTGTGTGTATGTTTTATATCAAAATATAGGAGTTTAAATATACCTCTCTCATACATGTACACACACGTAAATATATCTAAAAATATAAATATATCTAAAACATACACATTCCCATTCCAGGTGAGATTTACAAACAGCACCAGATGAAAATACAGTACATTATAGCATTATTTTTAGAGTGGTCTCCCCCCACCCCATCTGTTATGGTTGCCGTAGCTGCTATTTTTATGGCTTAACTGGTTGTCTGGTTTCATTTGTGGCATTTCACCTTGCTTTAAACTGACTTGCAACCTTTCTTAAAGGTCAGTGTGTGACCTTTTAAAAACAAATAATATAGATATACCTTAAAATCTATAGATTGTGTCTTAAAATTTATGCCCATGAAAAGGCATAATATACTCTATTCATTCTCCGGAGTTGCTCCTCAATGTAATCCAGCATACATATTACCCAGCCATATTATCTCAGTGGGAAAATTCCCATGTATGTACCAAAAACCTATGTATATTTAATTTTTTATTGATTAAGTAAATTTATATATATATTTTTTTTTTGCTCAAAATGGTATTCGGGGCAGCTGAGTCTGGTTGTCATTAAAAGTAATTGTATTTCACTGGAAAACATAGATTTTTATGGGGTTTTTTTTGTCCTATGTGCCAAAATAAATGGTTTGTTTGTTTGTTTGTTTATTTATATCCCGCCCATCTGGTATATTCTACCACTCTGGGCGGCTTATTTTGACTGCGGTGTGTGTGCTTGGTGGATTTGCTCTGCCTGTCAGATACTGTTATTTATGTGTGTTTTGATGTGTTTTAAGGGGGTTTTAAATAGTTTTAATTAATTGTTTTAATACTGTTACACAATTGTTTTACTTAAAGCAATCTCCTGAAAAGGACAAAAGCTGATCCCACAGCTATAAATACTCAACAATCCCACAAAACTGCACCAGAGTACAGATAGAGTTCTGACTTCTGTCCTCTGAAGATGCCGGTCAAAGAGACTGTCGAACCGTTAGGAAGAACAACCAGGTATATATTGGAACCACAAAACACAGCATTCACACCAGAATCAAAGAACAGAGAGACACTACAGACTAAAACAACAGGAAAAATCAGCAGTAGCTGAACATGCCCTAAAACAAGCTTGCCATTAAATTCTATTTCAAAATACTGAAGTACTGGACAACACCAGCAATCATTATGTTAGACTGCACCAGGAAGCCATTGAAATCCACAAACACCAGCAGAGCTTCAACAAAAAAGAAGAAAGTTTAAAACTCAACAAAGCCTGGCTCCCAGCACTGAAAAATACAGCCTGCAAAAGGTCAATGAACTCTACCCAGCCACAAGTACCAGTGATCACTGCACACAAAAGACCAGCTAATGACACCGATCAATCACAGTAACAGATCATCACTCCCCCTTCTCACAACAATACACCCACAACAAAAACATGCTGATCACCATAATCACCCAATCTCCTGAAAAGGACAAAAGCTGATCCCACAGCTATAAACACTCAACTATCCCACAAACTGCAACAGAGCACAGAGGTCTGACTCCTGTCCTCTGAAGATGCCGGCCACAGAGACTGGCAAAATTTTAGGAAGAAAAACCTTGAGAACATGACCAAAGAGACCGAAAAACCCACAACAACCACCGTAGACACTATTTTTATTACTTAATTCTATTGCTGTCCTGCCTTTCTTCTGATGAGGTCAAGGCGACCAAAGAGACCGGAAAACCCACAACAACCACCGTAGACACTATTTTTATTACTTAATTCTATTGCTGTCCTGCCTTTCTTCTGATGAGGTCAAGGCTGTATATGTGGCTTATTTTGGCCTCAGAAGGACAGCCCAAGGTCTGTGAACAATCTGGTGTGTGAACAATCTGGTCAAGAAAGGTGGAACTTTTGGTCTTTCTAGTCCTTTACTTGGGAACAAAGCAAATCATTTCCCCGCTTCTTCCCTCCTCCCAATGCTATACAGAGCTGGAAATTTTTTGAGGTCTAGGGCCCACTCAAACACCATTTCCATAGGATCCCTACTACTCTCCTGTAATGTTCGGAAGCCTAGTGCTATGGGGGAGGGACCCCCAGTTTTTGCCTTCTTTCAAGACCCCAAACATATTTCTTCAGGTTTCCAAATAGTATTATTTTCCCTTCTCTCGGTTGGTGGCAGTTGTGTTGCTGTTGATCTGTTCAGTTGGTTACTAGGTATGTGTGCAGCAAAGAAAGCAGCATACACTAATCAGTAATTTCAAGCAACTTTAAGAATTATCCTTTTTTGAGACTTGGTGCCAGTTAATGAGGAAAGAGATGGATTTTGGGAAACTTGTGTTTATTCTCCTCTGCGAATCTCCATACTTCTACTGTGTAGCAAAGTGTAGCAAAAAAAAATTTTTTTTTTTATATGGTTTGGAGAGTTTTGATTTCTAATTGGAAACAAAGTACTTCATAATGCTTGTGTAAATTGTGTCGCATGTCACTGTTGATTGCTGAACTTCATAAACAGAAAGCATAATCTGTCTTTTCTCTATTTCTTCAGCTGCCCATCTATCATTTTCCATCTGCACCTTTTTTCCATTGTTCTCCATTTGCATGCTAAAAACACAAAACCCTGCAGTAGCAATGTTTTGTCTGAAATACTTCTCTCTCTCATGTTCTAAGGGATTGTTCCAGTCCAGGGACTGGACTTTTGGGCTATGACTCCCAGAAAGCAGAATTCCTCAGGCAGCATGGCCAGCTGGGGAAGGTAACCCTCTACTGTGTGTGACAGTTCGGGAAAGCCATGTAATGTCCTGAGATCAAAGCACTCTG